CCAAGGTGTGAACCGATTGCGCTGTGGGTGCCATTATTTTCTAATGGCACCCCAGTCACGCAGGGGTGGATCGTGGAGTTTCCAGCCACGATTCCGCCCGTGCAAGTGAACACGATTGTGGCTAAAAAAAAAAAAAAAGCCACGAGTTGTGTCGCAAAAAAAAAAAGGTACTTGTACCTTTTCTTTTTTTTAACGATTGCTGGGCAGATGTCACCCCATTGAAATCAATGGGTCCGCGCGGCAATCGCTGTGTTTACTAGCACGCGATCGCATGTCCCCGGGTGTCACGCGGTGTACTGCAGGTGTGAACCTAACCTTAAATAATAGCATGGCCTATTTCCTGCAGTATACAGATAAGCCACGCTGTCATATAAGATGAACTACATATGACAGAGCTATGTTACTTGCTAAAGGATTTGGATTTCTGCCATCCGGTCCCGACATTTAAACAGCTCTGTCACTCAGCACAGCCAGCCTGGCAGACCCTTTCTTTCATCTGCTACAGTTGTGTAATGTAATTAGGTCTTGTACCTGCCCACAGCCTGTGACAAAGCAGCAGACTAATGGAGCTTACACTATATTGCCAAAGTATTGGGACGCCGGCCTTTACACGCACATGAAATGGCCTCCCAGTCTTAGTCCGTAGGGTACAATATTGAGTTGGCTCCGCCCTTTGCCGCTATAACAACTCCAACTCTTCTGGGAAGACGTCCACAAGGTTTAGGAGTGTGTCTATGGGAATGTTGGACCATTTATGAGGTCAGGTACTGATGTTGGAGGAGAAGGCCGGGCTCGCAGTCTCCGCTCTAATTCATCCCAAAGGTGTTCTGTCGGGTTGAGGTCAGGACTCTGTGCAGGCCGGTCAAGTTCCTCCGCCCCAAACTCCCCCATCCATGTCTTTATGGACCTTGCTTTGTGCACTGGTGAGCAGTCATGTCGGAACAGGAAGGGGCCATCCCCAAACTGTTCCCACAAAGTTGGGAGCATGAAATTGTCCAAAATGTCTTGGTATGCTGATGCCTTAAGAGTTCCCTTCACTGGAACTGAGGGACCAAGCCCAACCCCTGAAAAACAACCCCACACCATAATCCCCCCTCCACCAAACTTTACACTTGGCACAATGCAGTCAGGCAAGTACCGTTCTCCTAGCAACCGCCAAACCCAGACACAGAAGCGTGATTGGTCACTCCAGAGAACACGACTCCACTTCTCTAGAGTCCAGTGGCGGCGTGCTTTAGGCCTTTACACCTGAACGTTTTGTAGCGCGTTCAACGCTGGACGAACGCTCTACAAAACGCTCAAACATCTAAATCCCATTGTATTCAATGGGTCTGGTTCACACCTTGCCGTATTTCCGCCTGTCCGAACGCGATACAAAACGGCCTACGCCCAAAGAAGTACATGTACTTCTTTGGGGCGTTTTGGTCTGACGTTTCCATTGGGATACAGCCAAGTAGCCCACGGAAACGCGCGTTTGTCTCACGGTTTCTTTACCGTGAATCGCGGTAAAAAAGCCCATATTCAATACACCTAGGTGTGAACCCAGCCTTACACCACGGCATCCAACGCTTTGCATTGCACTTGGTGATGTGCGGCTTGGATGCAGCTGCTCGGCCATGGAAACCCATTCCATGAAGCTCTCTACGCACTGTTGTTGTGCCAATCTGTAGGCCACATGAAGTTTGGAGGTCTGTAGCTATGGACTGCAGACAGTTGGCGACATCTGTGCACTTCAGCATGCGCTGACCCCGCTCTGTCGTTTAACGTGGCCTACCACTTCGTGGCTGAGTCGCTGTTGTTCCCAGTTGCTTCCACTTTGTAACATTATATTTTATACATTATTTATAATTATATATATATATACACACACACACACACATTTTTATAATACCACTAATGGGTGGCGGTGGAATATTTAGTGGCAAGGAAATGTCAGATGGACTTACTGCACATGTGGCAACCTATCGCGGCACCACGCTTGAATTCACTGAGCTCCTGAGGGCGACCCATTCTTTCACAAATGTTTGTAGAAGCGTCTGCATGCCGAGGTGCGTGATTTTATACACCTGAAACAAATGATTTGGAGGGGTGTCCCAATACTTTTGGCAATATATTGTATCTATTAAGCTGGCCATACACCTTACAACCATCGCAAGACTTTGGTCTTGCGATGGTTGTAAGGTAATTTAAAAAAACGTAAGATCTGCCCATCTTGGACAGGGAGATCGTACTTGCGATCATCGCAAGCCCGCGCTGCTGAGGGGCGGGCTTCCAATGACTGCAATGCTGAACGGGCAGTGTACGCTTGCGCACACTGGCCCGTGCGGCAGTTAGTCTTACAAGCATGCCACAAACCAGCCAACAATCGTATGATTCTCGGCGGGTTTTCGAGCCTGCTCGTAAGACAAAAGACGTGCGACCGTACAGTAGAAACGGTTGCACGCCTTCCATACACCTGCCAATTATCGTACAATTGCGGGATTTCCCGTATCGACAGGTGTATGGGCACCTTAACTCTGATCTCTCTTCCTATCCGTAGGCTAGTTGCAATGCAGCACAACTGATTAGCTCCTGGCACTGCTTCTCCAGTCTGAGCTCCGCCGTGTAGGGCATTTCAAGGAGTTGACACCACGTCAAATCCAGGTACGTACACTGCTTGCATAAAAAAAATACATGTAGTGATGTAATAATGAATACAGAGCTGCATTATTCTGTGCCTTTTATATTAGTCTGGAGTAGAGCTTTAAAATGAACAGACATTTCGGACTCCCAGATCATGAACGTAAATGGAGCAGTCCGCTGACACCGACGTCAATTCAAACCTCAGCCGTAACCCACATAAAAGACAAAGTGGTAGCATGTGTGGCCTGGTCCACGTATAATGTTTATTGATGTCATAAAACAATACAGTTAGTGTTAGATCCAACCACAAAACAGCAAAAACAGGATAAATGGAAAGAAACAAAATTGCACAGTCGGCAGCATACAAATCACACTGAGCAGATGATGAAACTATGACAACATCTAAATAAAAATTAAAAACAAAAGGAAAGTTCTAAAAAGAATTCTTACTCATTGAACCTTATATGAAAAGAACGCACTTCGAGGATGTCCACAGCAAAGAAAGTGCATGACATCACATAACCAAGCAAACTAGATGTATTACAGGTCTGCTCACAACCCAGGTCCATGGATTTCATCTTCTCTCAGTCACACTGGATTCCAAAAGACAAGATGGAAGCAGAACATAGATTTCATAGGTTTATAAAATGACCGTGGATTGTTACAACTACAAGCAGGGACTTTATCGCGAGCCATCATGTTCTCAGCTTATACTCTACGTTTATGTCAATTCTAGAGCTTTGATTGTGTACAAAAGATACCCTTATAAACGGATCAGTCCAAGCTTCTCATCTCCTGTGACATGCTACTCAATGCACTGCAAACGTGAGTCCGTCTCTGATCAATAACATCCATTGATGGGTCCCCGGGGTCAGATTACTGTAAATGGCAGCGGTCCCCAACCTTCACTTCATCCATAGAGAGGTCTAAAGAGGTTCTCCAGGAACATGTTCTACACTTTCCACTCCGCAAAAGGGTTTCTAGATGTCAGCCCAGTAAAGGAAATGCATGGTCGTCTTTATTCAGTGTGTAAAAAATATATATTTATTTTTATTATTTCCTGGTTCCTACATGGCAGCATACCTATGATTGGTGCTCTGCCCACATCCAACCTCCAGGAACGATAAAATCTATAAAATGTCAGACAACCACCACCGCACGCCAATCCCCTGACCTCTTATGATTAGCCAGTATAGCCTACAACATTTAGGTTGGGCTTTTTTTTTTTTTTTTTTTTTTATTTTTTTTTTTAATTATTTTCTTTAAACAAATATTCTTTTTTTTTTTTTACAAATTGAAGTACAAAAAGAGCACCAAAAAGATTCCAAGGACTTTCCTCTTAAGTAAAGCCTAGACGATTTAGATTGGGCTGTCCTTTTTTTTCATTATAGGCTAGTCCATTTAGGTTGGACTCTAATTTCATAAGCGTGAGCAACTCCCACCCTCCATCTGTTCTGGAACTACAAGTCCTATGAATCATTGCAAGGCTGACCGTTACAGGCATGACTCAGAGAGGCATGTTGGGATTTGGAAAAGCACAGTTGGAGGGCCGGAGATGCCCACCCCTGCCTTAGGCTGTCTATGGAGGTAAGGAGCTAGTAGCTTAAATAACTGCCAAACCAAATAGTCCTTCAGGCAAGCTGATGAAGGGGAAACACATCCTTGTATCATGGTGACATCATCTTGGGGGCAGAGCTTGTGTGTGGGATTCTGAGGTTCCCCTCCTTCAATGCCAGCACTGCAAATGTCCCTCCTCTCCAGATACTGACCGAGTACATGAGTGCTGAAATCTTGTCCTTCCCTGATGCTCTCTCATTGCTCCCTGTCCCGTTGATTTTCAATAAAGGTTACATTAAACTCTACCCTATAGATGTTTGGTTGCAATGTTCTCTTTTGTTTGTTTTGCTGTTAAATACCTCCCTTGAACAGCACTTCTGAGTTCAGACACGGGCTCAGACCTCACACAGCCCTTTGCTTTTCTGTGTAAGTGAATGCGCTAAGAGCTGCTGAAGAATCTCTTTGTGAATGGGAAGAATAAAACTTGCTTATGAAGAACCTCTTCAAGAGTATATACAGAGAAGCTATTGCCCCCGCCCCCCCATATTTCATAAATTGAGCTGAGCATATGGTTTATACCCCTGATGAAAGCACACTGGACTGAATCCCACATTTGATTCATATAGCTGCTGCAGTCGCCATCTTGCATTAACATCTCTACCTCACAACATGTTTAACAATGATACAAATCAGGCCTTGAAGTGATTTGAGACATTAACTAAAAAAAATCCAAAAAACACAAAAAAAGTATTCTTTAATAAACTAAATAAAAAAAAAAAAATGCATAATATATTGCATGAAGAGCTGCTGGTATTTGTCTTCTTAAGAAAATATAGAATTGTGCGACTGTGACTACAATGCACCGCTGGAGACGCATTGTTTTTCCTGTGCAGTAGGAGAGAACATAATGAAGGCATATTACCGAAATAAGCAAGAAAAAAAAGAACCTGAACCTTCCATGGAATCACAAGAAATAATGCTGCGCGGTATGGACTTGTTGATTTGTCGTGAAAATCTACTTGTAGGCATAGAAAATTCGAACAGAAGGTGCAAGTTTGACTCTGCGTTTATATTTATAATATATATATTTATAGGTGGGTATGAAAAGCATATAGCTTTATAGATGGCGTTGGAAAAAGGTTATTACTGTAAAAACATGGGAGGAGGTGGCCGAGGAAAGCAGAGACGGGATGGAAATGGCGCTAACTGAAGTAGTGCGGTCATGTAGACAAGGCTTCTAAATGATCAGAGCTAGAAAATATAAATACACTGCTTTGGGGTGAAGAAGTGTCCAGAAGTTGAACAGAGAATGGATCAGTTGCTTTGATCGAGGGCTCTTAATAATTCCTCGCCCTGCAGCAGGTTCCGGCTTCCTTGTATCGGGGCGTTCACTTCGCAGTCGTAGCTAGTTAGCTGAGGAAGCCTGGTGCCATCCAACGACTGTCCAAGCAATCGACTGGCCATATCTGGAAGGAAGAACAGTCCAAAATTAAATGCGTTATCGTTAAAACAAGATTTTTTGACTTCCCACAAAATAAAACATTTTCTTACATTATGGGACACAGGTAATTCAAGAACCTTGGGTTATGCTGATGCCTTCAGGAGATTGGACACATGCAAACAAGAGCTATAAGACAGCCCAGTATAACTGCTTCCACTCCCAGCATTACCTAGAAGCCAGAACCCAAAGGATGTAGGGAAGCGATGGCCAACCTGGCAGCTTCCATGCAGAATTTTTGAACCAAGAAAGGTTGTGCGGTACTTCAGATCCAAAACAGGACAAATGCCCCTGTTGGGTTTTGGAATTGTGGACAGGTTTGAGCAAAAATCTTGGAACCTCTCTTCTGCTAGGACAAGGGCTACACTAACCTATTTGAAGGAGCTGCACCAGAGCAGCTTGGAGATCTAGTCTGTGCAGGGATGTTGGCAGGTAGAGGGCAACATTTTAGCTTGTAGCCCCCCAGCTGGGTACCACCTTTTGAGCCCAGATGTCTGAAATGTCCTGGGACCACGTGGCTGCAAGAGTAAACAGGTGTCTTCTCCCCCCCCCCACTCCGGCCCCATTTGAGGAGGCGGCACTCGTGGCTTGGAAGTTTTGGGAATTCAGAGCTTATGGTCGAATGGACTGCCAGACTTTGCCTTGGATTTTGAGACCTGTGAGAAACAAAAAAGGAGCTTTTCTTAGTTTGAGGGTTTCCTCGAAAAGGAGAACTATGAGGTGAGTGCTTTTCACTCACCTCATAGTTCTAGCCGACCTGTGACAATGAGACTGTCACAGGTCGGCTCAGTAGATTAGGAAGTGAGCGAACACATACCGTCGCTCGCTCACTTCTCGATCCTGTCATGGCAGAGAGCCGTGACAGGGGAGGGACTGGATTCCCCTCTCCCCTGTCCGATCCTCCAGTGCTGACTAGCAGAACGGACAGGGGAGGGGGCGGATACAGCCCCCTCTAGATTGACAGCTGGCTCTGCCTCTCACACAACTGGGTGGATCCAGACATAATTGTCGGGATCCGTTCCGGCATCTCAGTATACCGCGAGCTGTAGCTGGCGGTATACTGAGCTTTGGGTGACGGGAGGACGCTAGTTTGTGTCCTCCAGTTATCCTTAGGAGAACTATGGGGAAAAGCCCTAACCCCATAGTTCTCCTTTAACACTGTAGGAGAGGGTGTGGCTGCCTGTTTGTGTACGCTGTGGTCTGATTGAGCTAACCTGGCTGCAATCTTACCCATAAATTAAGAAAGAATGTAGCAGAGAATTCCTCCCTGGGTAATACAGAGAAAGTAGCAGTATCAGGGCTATGTGTACCAGGGCCTTTGGAAGGCACGCTTCACGCTGCCCCAGAACTATTTAGTGGATTGTACATTGGCAAGGCCTACAGGACCAGTGCCTTTGCGCTTATAATCCACCATACTGCTGTATGTAAGTGAGGAATTCCCCAAGTGGTACACTCAGTCTCTAGCGGGAACAGGAAGAGTGAATGTCATCTGTGACCTTGTCACTGGAGGCAGCAAGGAGCTTAAAAGAAGCCCATAGATCTTAGTGGAGCTGCAGCAGATGAGGAAGAGGGAGGTGCTGAGGGGTGCACATGCACTCAGTAAATGGCACGCACAATGTGCCCGCGTTTAAGTCTCAGCATGGCGCACTTGCAGTGTGCCTGCATACTGGAACTGTACTGCACTGCACTGTGCCTCTCCCACCACTGGTGTGGGACCAAATCTGGGGAATCCAGCGCTTCAGTTAACCCCCAAGGGGATCCCCAGTAAAAACACACACCAGACCTACAAAGAAAGTGTGATAGCCCTTGCTTACCGCTGGTGCGTGGTCTACGGCATCTTGTTTGTCAGTGTCAAATCTCCTGACAGCAGCAGCATAACTAAACGTTCACAAAGGACTATCCTGTGTCCCATAATGTACAATGGAGAAAACAATTCAACAATACAGTGCACCATTTATTGATATTTTTAGCTATTACAGTCGCTATCTCTACATGACGATGATCTACGATAAGACTTAATGAAAAGTCTGAAACTGAACAAGTACCTGTAGACAATAAGAGGATTGTTCGTTGTTCAGGGCCAGTTGGCTTATCAGAGTCTGACACTTTGACACATTTCCATAACAGAGGAGAGTTAGGCCCTGGATTAACATTCGTTTGGAATAACGTTCCCTATAAATTAAAAAAATTTATAACATTTTACAAACTGTGTATCACTAAAACAGCATTTAGAAATTAAATGTTTTTTTATTAAAAGCCCACTATAGCAAAACCTATGTGGGGACATTTACTAAAACTGGAGCAGCTGTGCATGGCCAACAATCAGCTTCCATCTTCTGCTTGTTCAGTTAAGCTTTAAAAATGAAAGCTAGAAGCGGATTGGTTGCCATACACAGCTGCTCCAGTAAATACCCCTCATTCTATTTTACGGTTTGCATTAATACCTGTAATGGTAGCATTCAGCACATTTGTATTATACCTTTATTTTTCTTTGCATTTACATGCGGACCAAGCTGTCCAGCAAAAGTGACAGTTAAACCTAACTATTGTACAATTATATTGTGCTTACAATGGTTAGCGCTTATTTATAGGTAGAGGTGCACCGAAATGAAAATTTTTGAAAATCAAAAACAAAAAAAATTTTCAGACCGATACCGAAAATGTTTTTTTAGTAATTTTTAAAATATTTTATTTTTTATGAACTTTATTTTTTTTATATTTTTATTTCTCAATTAATTTTTTATTAAATAATTTTTTTTAGATTACTTTTAGGGGCTTCGGGGAAATATTGGGGGTCTAAACAGACCCCTGATATTTTCCTTTTAAAATAGAAAAAGAGGATTTAGGACACAAAGTCCTCTATCTATTTTTCTGTATTCCCTGTTATCAATGAATAGGAATCCTCTGAGTGTTCCTGTTCATTGATAACATGAGTTATCATGTTTGTTTACTATAACTACAACTATGAATGAACAGGAGGTGATGTAGATCACTTCACCTTCATTCATAATTGAGGATATAGTACACATACCATGTCCTCAATTATCTACAAACACTCAGCGATCACTGAACACTGAGTGTTTGCACTGCTCTCCTCTCTTGTCACAGGAGGCTGAGCGAGTGGAACAGGGAGGAGAGCTCAGCCTGTCTCCGCCCACACACCGCTCTGCCGGACTGGGAGGAGACGCCGGTCGCTCACAGCGCTCTACTCCTGCAGCGCTCGGCAGCCTGTCACAGTTTCTCTCCTCCCCGCTGGAACACAGAGCCGCGCCCAGCGGGGTGGAATGAAAGCAGGGATGCGCTGATCTATTGGCAGGAAAATGGCAATCTCGGCATTTAGCCAAAAGTGCAATTTTCGGCCGATATGTTTCGGCGGCCGATATATCGGTGCATCCCTATTTATAAGGATTAAACATTTTTCCTGAAGCAAAAAAACTGATGCAGCAACTGCTTAAAAGTGTTATCTGGATCTGGCCTTTGATTTGTTTGTTGCTTGCTTAAAGTCCATCTAAAAACTACATGTCCATTTTACACCACCTTGTCTACAGAATGACAGTGCAGCACGATGAACAGGGAAGTGAGAAAACAGACCTACTGGCAGGATCAAAAGGTAATAAATCTATGCTACAAGAGAGGAAAAATAAAACCTGGTGTGTAAACGTGTGCTATGGGCAGACAGCATCATATAGGTCATCTTTTTTTATTCTGGCTATAGTTCTAATCTAACCAATGTCTTGTAGGCCCAAAATATTTGTACTCCATAGCCCATTTTGCACAAGAAAGTGTTACATACCCAGCAGGGAAATACCATCCACATTGCATATCTGCACAGTGCTTTAAGCTTTCTTTCTAGATATGAGCTGTCTCATATTAAAGTACAGTACCCTACTCTCACCCAGCACAGAGCAGTTGTAATGCCTTGGAAGCCATTTAGATATGCATGCTGCAGTATTCTGCTCCACGTTAAGCCAAGTCAACCAACAGGTGCATTTACAAGCGAACATATAACAGATGAATTAAAACGCAACAAAAAGACCCAGATATTCAATTCTAACCACTTCCCGGCTGGCCGTTGTAAAAAAAAAAAACAAACGGCCGGCCAGGAGCTCTCTAGATCTGAGCGGGAGACTTTAGACATCCGCTCAGCCACAGTGGATCAGAGGGAGATCGGTACACGAGCTCCCTCCGGTCCCCTCTCCGCTGTCAGAATGCGGAAGTGATGTAGATTACATCAGTTCCGCATTCTCGTGTCACTCTCCAGCTTCAGATGCTGGAGAGAAGCTGATGGAGCAGATCTGTACTTCATCAGCTTCTTTTGGGGGGTCCTAGGTGACATTAGGGGTCTTGGAGACCCCTGATGTCTCCATAAAGATGACCCGTCACATCTTTCACTATCACATGAAAACCCCCCTATGTGATAGGGGGAAAAATTAAAGTTTCCCCCCAAAAAATTTAAAGTTACACATAAAAAAGAATTTAAAAAAAAACTATTTTAAAAAAAATTCCCCCTCATACATACACGCATGCAAACATGCGTCAGGTGCGCATACGTGCGAAAACGACGATTGCGCCCATTACAGCACACGTTACATATCGTTGCGAACATCGGAATGAGAGCGATAATTCTAGGGCTGTCGAGCACCGATAACACTAAACTGATGAGCAGTAAAAGCTTTTAAAGCGTCGCCTATGGCCAATTCTGGGTATGGTAGTTTTTTGCGGGTGCGTGCAATTTTAATGCTTGACATGTTTGGTGTCTATTTACCCGAGGTGACCCCGTCTTTTATATTTTACCAAAAATATGGGTAATCATTGTTTCCTTATATAATGGGGGAAAAAAATTAATTTCAATAATTTTTCTTTCATATAGTAAAAAATAAAAACCGCAGTGGTGATTAAATACCATCAAAAGAAAGCTATCTGCCCCCCAAAAATGGTATAAAATTAATTTCAGTACAGCGTTGCATGACGGAATAAATGTCAGTCAAAGTACTGCAGCGCTGAACACTGAAAAATAGCCTGGTCAGGAAGGGGTGTAAACACCTGGTCAGCAAGTGGTTAAAGGAGATGTCCAATTTAAAGGAGTTTCCCACTTCCTCTGGGTACAATCTTTGGAAGACAATAGCCTAACAATTCAGATACAGCTGCTGCTAAAGTTCACCAATAGGTGGCACTGCAAGTAGAATCTAAAACTGTGCTGGTAAAGGGTTCCTTCTTACTGAGCGCGAGGGGCCACAAACGGGCAAAGGATTTCCTGTTATTGAAAAGGTCAATTGTAAAATGTATATTTAAAAAAAAAAAAAAAGCTTTTTTTTTTTTCTTCTGCACTTACTAGTCCCACTGCTTGAAACAAAGGCCCATCGTTTTCAATTTTGCGTTTTCTCTGGACATTATGTAAAGCGATCATCTTTGGGCTCATTTCGTCATCCATGGGTGCAGGTCTGAAATTAAAAAAACATACAATGATAGCAACATGTAAATTCATAGAAATACCAAAACAAACTGAAAAGCTTCTTTGCTTAGTCTTGGACAGAGCAGGGAAGGATCAGAACTTGTGCCAGGTTTTTATGGCTGTGTGTCTCCTCGCTCGGGAGATTCACTGATTGAATTGCAAGGACAAAGTGCCGGAATCGCGCACGTATGCCGCGCGGTGAGGTGTCGCCTAGGTGTGAACCTAGCCTCAAAGAGAGCTCTTCCAGGCCTCCCTGCACCCTCCCTTCGCAGTGGGTTAACATTGGCGCCAAAAAAGTGATTAAAGCAAGTAACATAGGACCTTATGCATGTTCACGTATGTGTCATCAGACAACTGTTTTGATCCGAGTAGCATAAAATAGCCAGTGGTACCAGCTGCTTGTCTTTATTATCATTGTCACTGAGACTGAAGGCGAGGGAAATAAAATTGGGACACTTGTGGTGACAACAGTTTTTGCTCACTTCCTGTTGTGTCTACAGAAGAAGTGAATAGAAACTCCAGTTTTAAAGGAGAACTATGAGATGAGTGATTTCTACTCACCTCATAGTTCTAGCCGACCTGTGACAATGAGACTGTCACAGGTCGCCTCAATAGATCGGGAGGTGAGCGACAACATACCGAATTCGCTCACCTCTCGATCCTGTCACGGCTCTCTGCCGTGACAGGGGAGTGGCTGGATTCCCCCCTCCGAACTGCCAGCGCTGACTGGCGGAACGGACAGGGTATGGTACAGCAGGCTCTGCCTCTATATAGGCAGAGCCAGCTGTCACTCACGCATCTGGGCGGATCTCGACATCGATGTCGGGATCTGCTCCGGCGTCTCAGTATAGCGCGAGCTATAGCTCGCGGTATACTGAGCTTAGGGTGACGGGAGGACGCTAGTTTGTGTCCTCCCGTTACCCTAAGGAGAACTATGGGGAAAAACACTGACCCCATAGTTCTCCTTTAAACCTTTCCCTACTCTATCCAAAAATCAAAAAAGTTGGATATACTTGAACCAGTAATTTGCAACAATTGTTACGTTGGATCACTGAAATTCTTGTAAGCGGTTGAAGATTGGAGTCACCTGCTATCACTGGCACGTAATATATGACAATGATGAGCATTTATATAACTGAAATGACCGATGAGCCAGTCACTTGTTTAGCTACAGTGGGCAAATGTTCTATGCTCACACTGGAATACGGGTCACACATGTAGCATGACAAAATGTCGACTGTTTACATTAGCCTAGATGTAGAGGTATGCATATCTACATAGATCATACACACACACACACTGACAAATAGGCCTTAATCATTTACAATGCCTTCCAAGGCCTGAATTTTAAAAAAGGTACATTACCTTTTATTTAGCGAACTCGTTAAATTGGGAGTTCCAGGGCGGGATCTGTCCTTTTCGGCTGCTTTCTCTGTCCTCACGGGAGAACTTGTCCGACTTCGGTTTGCATTATATGGGGAAGCGGGGGCACTTAGCACCTTTTTATTGGGTGGTGTAGGCGAGTGCACAATGATGGTTTCCAAATCGCTCATGGCTTCAGTGGCGATTGCTTTCAGATCGGTAATGGGTGGAGCAGTAGATGGCTGGAACAGATTGGTCATGCTTTCTAGTGACTGCGGATGAGTGGAATCAGTCTCCATGGAGGAAAGCTGGTCAAAGCTTCTTAGCTGGAAGTCATCGTCCATTGGGATATATGGAGCCAACATTTCCAGGTCCAAGTCTGTTTCCTGAATTCAGATAAATGAATATATCTATAAGCAGGCCGTACGGTGATTAATTGGCTAGCGCTGGGCCAAACGCACAGTGATTTACCTGTGTACAGAATGGAGTCTTTGCTTCTGTGTCAATGGCAAAAAGTTTCTCAACCAAGTCCATCTTAAATTCCCGGGAGATCTCACTATCCACATCGAAACAATATTCTGCTGGAGTGCCAGGCTGCACAGGGAAGGAGGAGGGAAAGAATATAGCCGTTATTAATATTATTTAGCACATTTCTAAATGCTTAATACCTTTTCACAGCATGATATAGATTTTCCATCCTAGAAAGACAAATCACACCAAAAAGGACATTTTGATGGCAATCCCATCTTTGAAATAACACTGCTGTGCATAACACAGGAGGGTGATTTGTGCTCAGAGTCTAATGATGACATAATATTGAGCAGCAAAAGGGGAGGGTGCCAACCTATCAAAATCAGTTTCACTTTTTAGGGCAAAGCTTACACAAAATATATCTACTACCCTCTTATACCCAATGTTTTTAATATCTTGTTCTTACCTCCGTTGAGCTCTGGCTGCTGCTGATTTCTGTTGGACTAGATGGCTTGGAGAGCTGTGGAATGGTAAAAGCCAGTGCCAGCTGTTGTGGGCTAGTCTCCATCTTGATCACCACCTCCCTGTTCAGAGCAGGGTCGGCATTGCTACGCATAGGCTTCGGCTTCTCTAACGCTGGAAGCGGAGACACCAGGTTTTCTGGAGGCTTACTGGTTGGGTGCATCATGACGTCATTATACAGTGGGACATCGTCAAACTGCGGCTCTGAATCTAATGTAAAGAAGATGATCAGAAAGATTATATCCTGCTCAGGAGAAGGGAATAGTCCATATAAATCCAAGCGAGGACACCCACCACTGGAACTGAAGTCCAAGGCTATGATCTCATCTCCAGCATCAGGTGCAAGAACAGTCAGTGACTCCGGCTCCTTTTTCAGTTTGTCAAACAGGCTTTCCGTGTCCTCCTCCACATCCAGTTTAGTGAAGATCTGCGGCATCTTTATTTCAGCAGATTCTGTGGACTCTGTCTGGCCAAGGGATAAGACCAGCTCGTTCTCCACAATGCCACTATAAAAAAAAAACCCCCGCAAGTCATTAAATCACCAGATCCTACATGAAAAGCAAGCAATGCGTCACAATATTTTACTACTATGGATGCACGGCTGGAGGCGGCTCTGCACGCATCGGCGGCAGCAGATGGTGGAGGTTGCCACCAGGTCGCTTATGAGGCTGATATCCTCAGGTCCCTATGCTGCTATTGTGGTTCTTGGCACTTCAAAGGACCAGCCCCTGACGGTGCTTATTCCAGCCTCCTCCACACAGTGAACACATGCCCCCCCTGTCCCGCAGCGCCTTTGTACACGCATCTGTTGATCACACTGTAAGGGGACCTCCTCCTCCTAATGAAGCCACCTGCGGCGCAAAACACGTTGAGCACAAAAATGCAAGTACGGCATTTCCTATGAGCTCTGCAAGTACTGCACCACCACCCACCAAATGTGTTTCCATTAGAGGTTTTGGTTATTTCAGCTTATGGATGAAATGTTCTTCATTGATTCTATCCAATTTTGAACTCCATAATCATGTGTATAATTATCTGATCATGTACTACTACCCTATATATGGAACCTAGTGGGTGAAAGGAGGTTCTCATCAAATTATGCATTGTTTTATTTCTATGTATCACACTGATGATTTTTAACTTTTACACCAAATCCAAAATATATTTTTATACTTCATAGTTGTTTGAAGCTCATTGGTACGTGTCAATTGGTGCCCAAAACACCAACTTCTTTCTATTCTTTATTACTACTATGGATGTCGGGAAAACAATTCAGACATGCATTTTGTGCATCCTGACTAGCAGGGGCAACAAGTTTATACATTCATATTATCCCGTCTCTAGAAGGCGCTGCTAAAGTAAGTTAAAAAAAACCCCGCAAATAGCGCTATTCCTGCCATGGAGCATGCGATGATTTATCTTGAAAGAGGACTTCTGTGGTGAAACTCTATTACAAAAAGGTGCAAACCCTTCTGTCCCTGTCGAAGAGTCTCACACCTACTGTGCTGTAGGGAGGAAAAACTCCCTTGTAATGAATGGCCACATCAGAAAAGTTCAGCTGGGAACACATGAAAAGAATTGGTCACCGGAGGGCCAGAAGATGACTGACCCCATCAACAAACTACTCAAAAACAAGCGTCATTCAGGACATTCACCAAACCAGGTTCAAGAAAGTTTATAAAGGCCAACGGTGAAAATGAACTTTACTTCAAATCTCATACCTGTGAATGTGCCTACCAATATCACACATAATGATGTTAAAAGGGAATTTACCGTTTTGTCCTTTAAAACATATCAAATTGCATTGAATATGGAGACAGCTGATATAAACTTTATTTTAAACAAAGCCTTCTTGAAGTCACATTAAGCAGAGACCCTTCATAGCAGATGCTCTTTTGGGCAAAGATAGTACCTGTGTTCCAATGCACAACGCCCTGATGCCTCCTTCAGCTCTGTGGAAAAGCCAAAATTTCAGGTATAGATCATTCTGCCCAACTGCCAATCATGAAATGCTTGGTGCTGAGTGATCATATGCCAGGACCAAGTATTGTCACATGTATTGGGCAGGAATCCTGACTAGCCCTATGCACATATCAACTATTCAGATGAGTAGAAATCATGGCTGTATAGCCATTTTAGTAGCCGTCCCTGCAGATAGAGATTATGTACTTGCGACAAAGTGCCTTCTGAGCACCTGTGGGATTAAATTTGTTTTTGATGACCCATGGTAAAAAGGAACTTTAAGGCCCCGTTCACATGTAGCGAATTATCGCGCGATTTCCGCCGCGATATCGCGCATTTTTGCCGCGCGATATCGCGAGAAGTCGCCGGCCAATGCTATTCAATGGAGCTGTCTTAACTCCATGTCGCGCATCGCAAGTCGCTTCTACCGGACCCTTTTTTCGGTGGATTTTGCGCGATTTTGCCCTTTTTCTATGGAGCCCGACGGAGAAGGTCGCGCTACCGTCGCTGGATCGTCGCTGGAACGTCGCCCCGAAAGTCACGCTATCCCGGCCGTGCGGATCCGCTGCAAAAGGTATGTCGCTACGTGTGAATGGGGTCCAAGACCCCATTCACACTGAGCGACATGCAAATCGCGCTACGTTGAGCTACGTGTCGCGCGATCGAGAGCAATATCGCTCAAAATCGCTCTAAAAAAGGGTCATGTAGAAGCGACAAGCGACGAGCTACAAGCGATATTGAGCGATATTGGACGAGATGTGAACAGCTACATTGAAATGTATTGGTGAAGCTACATAGAGCGATATAGTGCGGAAATATGAGCGATATCGCTACAAAAATCGCGCGATAAATCGCTCAATGTGAACGGGGCCTTAAGCTAAATTCCAAGATCCTGGGTGCTTGGAGTCATTCAATCCAAAAGAGTACCGGCAACGTTAGTGGCGAACCTGCGAGGAACAGTGCTGGAAAACAGCAATGCAGCATTTTAACCCCTTCATGACTGAGGCCCTTTTTTCCATTTTTGCACCCATGTTATATTCCACATTTTAGGCCTGAAAATGACGTAAAACCCCCCAACATTATATATTTTCTGAATGCCAAGACCCTATAGAATAAAATGGTGGTAGTTGAAAATTTTTATGTTGAGGACACCATTTTTCTTAAACCCCCACCAAAAAACCCCCCAAACAAACAAAAGACTGGAGTTCTGCATCCTGCTGCATTCTCTGCAATTAAATTTAGAGAGCCCTGGAGAGATGCAGGAAACTGATGGACCATTCATGCTAGGATCCATCAGTTCTGTGTAGACTGATCTTTAAAGATGCACCATATCAGCTTATGTGAAGATAATGTGGTGTATTAGGAGCACTTACCTGAGGACATAGTTCACGCACACAATACACTGGGGCTGGGAGTTCTTTGTATTGTATATAACCGTGGCCTGTGTCTCCACCCAGACATAGCCACCTTTCTTGGCCAGCAGCCTGTACTGTCCTGTTGTCACCTGCCCTTTGGTGAACACTGCAGAGAAAGAAAAAAGGAGCAGTTAACTTAAATGAACAAGTTTGTTGTGCAACATTGTAACAATAAATACTGGCATATCCCCTACCCCAGGCCACTGCTCCCCTACTTACCTGAATTGTGGGGCTCTTCTCCCTGCAGACTACTGTCATTTTTTACATTTGACATGGCTGTGCTTGGCTCCAACCGCACAGCGGCATTACCCATTCAAAGATCCACTCACAGAACCTGAGAATGCAGAGACTACGATTCCCATCTGCAGCTACTGAAGAGGAACTTGTAGCTCTCAAAAGGTGTGCATGTGCGGTGACGTCACCTCCCGTCCTGTAATTGAAAGTCCATACCTTGGTAAGGACAAGGATGGGAGAAAGTCTGATGGAGCCAGAGCTTTGCACCCATGATCCACCAATAACAGTTACAGACCTTTGCAAGTTCAAATGTGCATGTGCATTTATTTTTTTTCTTCTAAAAGCTGTGTCTTTATACAAACATATCTAAATACCTGTAACTGAAACACTAATACTAGGCTATCAGAATTTCCAGAAGCTTGTAAACACTGGCAATTTATGGGATAAAATTAACCATGCAGAAATATCAGCTTTAAATAAGCTGCAACTTTAAATCAAGCAAATTGCTCTGCATAAGTTTCTGCACCGCATCCACACCATATTATTCAAAATGGTTCAATGGGAAATGTCGGCGGAAAGCAGGCATCTAGAACTTGTCTACAGTAGGTGGATGCCATTGGCAAAGGAGTGTCCTGGCTTTTTCAGGACTCAAGGGGCCAAGTATACGAGTATACGCTGGTACCTCTTGTGCCTCCTTTTCAACACTGCTGCCTATTTAATCTGTTAATGTGACCATGAAGTCATTATATTCAAGAATTATCAGCCCAACCCAAAAAAAAAAAAAAAAACCTTTAGTGTTCTTTACATTAACTCTCATTACTGCATAGAACTTCAAGAAGAACGTACTGTAAACCGATCAACAAATTTAAACCAAGAAGGAAATTAAAAAAAATAGCTACAGGAAGCACTACAAATTTTCTCCTAATGCCCTAGTGGCCCCTAAAGTCAGTGCTCCACCTTGTAAGTCACCATATGCACTGAGCTCAGGATAAGATTAAAACTAAGGTTTAGTGGAGGCAGTGTTCAACAATCACTGCCTATCCCAGTAACGGTATACTTCGTCTCACCCAGAAAATAACAGGCAAATGTCACCGTGTAATGAATCCTCCCATCACTTACTGTCATGGTGTGCTTTGGTCAGGTGGTCAGAGTCCAGGGCGTGATAATACTCATACACTGACCTTCCCAGGAGTTCATCTGGCTCATATCCTGCCAGCTCTGTAACTCTGCAATAAGAAAAGAGAAAACAATGTGTCTTGAGTACTGCAGAGACGAATGTACAAATGAATGAAAAAAGTCAATGCACCTAGGAAGATTACAGATGGCACCCAGCTTTTTTTAAGCCTTAAAAAGAACTCTAGGAGAAAAATGTTTATAATAAAATATGCCATATTACAACTAGCTGGGTCATGGGTGGATGCTACTTTCAGGATTGCTAACATTTCTGTATTATTTAGCGTTTCACTGATGCCAAATTTTATAGCTATCCCTATACTTGTAGCTCTATGGCTCCGCAACACATAAGCCGTGTTGTCATTTATCCTCTCCCCTTGTTCATTCATAGAATGCTTTCAGCCACAAAATACAAACTGTCCTGTGAATGGACAAGGGGAGGAGGGGGTGGATAAACCACAGTACAGTTCCTATGAAGGAGAGCTGCAGCCTTCCTTGTCACAGCGCCAGAAGCATAGCAATAACTATACTTTCTGACATTCCGTGAAATAGAGAACCTGCAGTAATCCTGGACATGGCATACACCTCATGGAACTTAGCCACTTGCTGCACGCCGGCCGTATATAAACTGACGCACAGGTGCCTTCTAGATGCGGGTAGCAGTTTTAAAATGTCTTTGTGCGCGCAAGAGTGGGAGACTGGTCAGAATTTCAAAAATAACCAGTGATGGCTGTTTACATACAAACAGTCCGGCGGCCGTAGAGCGGCCTGATCGCTTGCATGCTGTGCCTTCATGTGCATTCCCCCCCGCGCCAACCCAGTCGTCCGCCGCCGATGTGCTCTGTGCGGGCACAGCAATGTGGCTCTGTGCAGGGAGATCAGAGGCAGATCAGTACACAATCTCCCTCTGATCTCCTCTACAGTGTTGAGAATGCGATAGTGATGTCTATTACATCAACACCTCATTCACCTGTCTGGCTACAGAAGCCGGAGGGAAGCTGGAGAAGTAGCTCTGATTCAGTCTCTTTGGGGGTTTTAAGGTCTCCATAAAGAGGACCTGTCAGTAATTTGATATCACACGGGGGGCTTCTTAGCCCCCGTTGTGATAAAAGTGTAAAAAAAAAAAAGTTTACAAAAATGCAAAGTCCCCCACATACACACATGCATCGGGTGCGCCTACATGCGAAAACAAGGAGATTGGACCCATGTTACATATCATCACGAACATCAGAGTGTGAGCAAGAATTGTAGGGCCATCAATCACTATTAACATTAAACTGATGAGCGGAAAAGGCTTTTAAAGAGGTGCCTATGGCTAATTTTAGGTATGGTACTTTTTTGCGATTTCTCGGACATGCTCAATTTTAACGATTGAGTGATTGGTGTCTATTTAACCGACGTGACCGCGTCTACTATAGTTTACCAAAAATTGGATAATAAAAAGGTTTCATAACATAATAAAAAGGGAAAAGTTTTTCTTCAAAATGTTTGGTACTTCTTTCGTTCTAAAGTAATAAATAAAACCCCCAGTGGTGAGTAAATACCACCAAAAGAAAGCTCTGTGTCTCCAAAAAAATGGTATAAAATTAATTTCAGTACAGCGTTGCATGACGGAATAAATGCCAGACAAAGTACTGCAGAGCTGAATACTGAAACACGGCCTGGACCGTAAGGGGGTGTAAACGCCGTGGTCTTCATGTGGTTAACTAGCTGTAACAAAGCACATTTAAGAAAAACTTTTTTCCTGGAGTTCTCCTTAAAAGTCATTGCTGTTTTTCTGGTTTAGACTGACTAGCCACTAAATTCTACAATAATCCATCATTAACTACCATATGTACACAGAGGAACAGTGTGCAATGAAAATGAGGAAACAAAATTACACTACAGACTTCACAGGGACACTTGCCAGGTAGCAATGCTTTATAATACAAGGAAAACCTTTCCAAATGTAAAAATGTGTACGGCTGTGAAGTAACCCACAGCCCCCAGATTTGAACTTTAGTATTTCAGAGTAGACGGGACCAAAATATCTTTGACGACTGGTTTGCACTCCTCTTTGCTTTAGCAAAAGGTCAGAGCAGTTCTATTCTCATTGACCAATAGGTGGTGCTCCTGTTCCACAATACTAAAAAGGCATGACATTTCCATTCTAAATATACTCAAATATAAGATTAAACACCTTTCGTCACAATAAGAGAACTTCATGTCAAGGCTGTGGCGGCTCAGGAAGGTTTTACTGTCCAATGGAAATTCAATATTTGATGGGTGAGGGATAGGTTCGCAGATCAGCACCATGCAGGTCATGGGTGGCTTCTTATATCCGCAATGGCTCTGGTTGTTGCAGTTGTCATACACACGCATGTGCCCTGTGCAGTGAAGAACCTAAAAAACAAAATGCAATTCAGGTTCTGCTTAACAATCAAAATGTAATAAAGGAGGTCATGTGAATAAACACAATTTGTACTTGCAGTACATGACCCGTTTATCCAGTTTGTAAGCTATACAACATACATTGGTAAATGAAACATTGGATGTCATCTATTTTCAGAGTTTAATATTTCCAACACTTTCTACAAATCCCTACAAAGTTGGACACATCAAGCACTCGCATATGGATCATGTGACACTTGGGTGCTGATGCCTCTGCCATTTTTGATAATGTTATACCCGCAGAGCAATGAGTACCGCTCTTATATTCTGCATAGGAGACTTCCACTTCTCCTGGCACAGACTAAGGAATGCTGCTTATTGTAAGATTTTACTGGAGACATGAGGCAGCCAAAATGTTTAATGGATGGCTTGTCCTGGTATAGCCAAATTTCAACTAATTATTTTCTAGACAGAGCTGGGGAAGGGTTAGAAATTCTCATGTTTTTTCACTGTGGTTTGTGAGCCTATTGGGGAGTTAACCAGCTACTGTACTTCCTGTCTGTATTATAACCTCCCTAGTTAGCAAACTAGTATACAAAAGTTTAGGCTGAAGTCAGGCTTTATTAAATCAGGTAGCAGGTCAATGTAGTGGGTATATTGTTACCCAGTGTCAGTTCTGGATATGTAAATTAGACCTATGTGGGTCTATAAGCGTACCACTTGAACCCCCTAAAGGACGGATGGAACCTGAACTGCAACTCTACAAGGACCAGGAAGAAATATCCAAGGGCTCTCCCTTAATACCGTTGTGTACAGTGCCTTCAACTGATACCTTTGGGGCAGTACCTGATGGACGCCAGAGAGTTCACAGCATGACACAGCCACTGAGCTATCGCCTCAATGCAGCACTGCTTACACAAAAGCTAAGCAGAGTGAAGGTGCAATGCTTCTAATGACTTAACTGGTTATTTACAACAGTGCATCCATTAGCTACTTCCACAGCAAAGTCACTGATAAATACATTGACGAGGTTTATTAAAAAAAAAAAAAAAAAGGCACTGCAAACATACGCAGTTAGAAACACAGAGCGGAACTGATGCGGAGTATCTGGTCTTCTTGCCAGGACGATTAATAAAGCTCCTCGGACAGAAAATAAAAACATGTCCCTGTGCCCACCGTGCCTCTTACCTTCCACGTGGCAGACTTGATATTTACGGTTCTCCCCCGGCTTGTGAGGGTGCACTTCATACGCAGGAAGAAGCTGCGCTCTGTGATTTGCTCTTTACCCTTCTTTGCTGGTCCTGAAAGTACATTTAAATAGAACCTCATCAATGCAATTGAGAAGATAAGTAGCAAGAAGAGAATCATACAGTGTTGAACATTTACATCTACCAAAAGAAAAAATGAGCAGTCACAAGGGCTTGTGTAACTGTGTGTTTGGTCACCCTCCTCACTCCGACAACATTTCTAACATTATAAAAAGCAGAAGTGCTTTTAGTAGAGCCGTGAGCAGATCATGAGCTAGAAGGGCCGATAGGACCCTGCGCTTAGGAGGGGAAGGTTGGGGGTTGCATGGCCAGTCGGTAATTTAGCCACTGCAAGGCAGCAGCAAGGACGGGTCTGAAACATGATTGGAGTGGAAGGGGTATTGCTGCCCTACAATTTCTCTTTTTGTTGCTAGTGTCCAATTCTTCTGAAGATGCCAGTATAGCTGCCCCCAAGGATGACTCTACTCTGTGTCCCTTAATTACAGATTAAGAACACTTTCTCCCCCCAGAGAAGGCTTTTAAACAAGGCTTTTCTGATGGGCCCAATATTAAGTGGTATAATCACTTGAATATGTCTGAACACATAAACATGGTCATCTGCACAAGTTCACATGTACATACCATTTCTAAATGTCAGCGTCTCCCTCAGCTCCTCATGATCACAGGGGTGGGTGAAGTCGAACACACTGTGCCCAGTCAGCTCAAACTAAAAAAAATAAGGTTATAATGATATATGGGCAAGATCGAGTAATACACTACACCACAACAACAACAAGGTATAACGGTATTCATACCTGTGTGAGTCCCATGCACTTGTTGACATTTTCAGACAGGTAGATCATATCCCCTTCCTCAGTCAGGACCAAAACAAATCCCTCTAAGGCCTTTAGATAAAAACAATTCAGCTGTTTTTCCATGTCAGACTCTCCAGCTGCTTCACCTAATGGACACAAAAAAGCAATTCAATTAGTTTAAAATGTGTATAGATGTGGGTCATGCTGTCAGAAAAAAAATCTCAAATGTGACACAAACAGCAGACAAACCCTGACCTGCGCGATTAACCAAGAATAAAAAAAAATTGGCTTTAGATATGGTTTAATATCAGTGTCCCTGAATTCACTGTGCAAATCAGACTGGGAGAGCAAGGGGCAGCAATGTCACAGAGTCCAACTCTACTTCAGCGCTGTGCCACTACGTCATTGACCTATTATTGGATGGGGAGATCTTATTGATCAATTGTAATACACTACGCTGGGGAGACTGTGGAACAGGACCAGGTAGGTGCATCTGGATAACAAGACTGGCTGATCAAAATGACAGGTAAAACAGTTCACCCTAATGCAGGGGTAGCCAAACTCCGGCCCTCCAGCTGTGGTGAATCTACAAATCCAGTCACCGCACACCGCAGGGATTCCTCTCTCCGATCCTCCAGCGCTGAATAGAGGAACGGACGGGGAAGGGGGCAGGCGTACCTGGCTCTGCCTCTAGATAGGCAGAGCCTGCTGTCAATCAGCCAGCTGGGTGGATGGCGACAGTATTATCGGGATCCCTCCCGGCTACAGCACTCTCCAGTATATAGCGGGCAATAGCTCACTATATACAGAGTTTTGGGTCACAGGAGGGCATTAGTGTATATCCTCCAATGACCCTAAAGATAACCATGGGATAAACAAAAAAGGTTACCCCATAGTTCTCTTTTAATGTTAAGCCAAACCTAGAAATATAACATTTCCACAATTGGCTGTAAAGCATGTGACCTTTTAATGCCATAACTTTTGTTTAGCGCTATGCCCCAATCTGCTGCTGCAGCCCTGAGAAGGGCCTGATGCGTCTTGGTATGCAGCACACACACACCCAAACACACACACACACACACACACACACACACATTCCCCAGTCTATTATGGCCTGGTTCACACTTAGGCCCAAAACACAAATTGGCATTCAAGTCAATGAAGGCTGTCCACACCTTTGCATTGCGCGTGCAAAATCGCCTGTCGCGCAAAAAGGTGCAGAAGCTATTTTCGTGCGGTTAGCGCACCATTTCGGTCCCAGAGACAACTCTGTATTGAAAACTGGGCGGTTTTCAAAGCAAAAATCATGCTAAAAAAAAGTGTGAAAGCACCTCAACAGCTCAGTTGCCTAGATGTGAACCATGCCCGAGATGCAGCGATCGATGCCTTAGCACCAATCTGTCTGTATTTTGGGTTGTTTAATGCTAGAATTCCATATTACATTTACTATTATATGTATGTATATATGTATTATTTACTTGAAAGCATGTTCCCATTTCCTGTAAATCTCAGAGGAACTAGAGAGCAGGGAGAAGTTGCATACAAAGCCAAAACCAACATGACAGTCATGTAATACTTTGGTTGAAGGATTGCTTTCTGCAACAGCGATTTAGTCCAGCTGTTGGGCTGATCCTCTCAAGAGAATAAATGCCATTTACAGACCAGAAACTGAAGATAAACCTTAGTTTAATTAGCGGTGATAGAACTGCTCCAGCTGTTCTGAACAGGAGAGGAAAATCGAGGGATTGCACCAAATCAGGATTAACCAGCACGCAAAGTCACAAATGCTTACGGACATTTCATTAAAGGCATATTTCACCATTTGCAAAGAAATACATCCACATTAATAAAATAGAATTATAGACCAGTCTGGGTGCGATGCCCGGGCTCCAGCAGAGAAACTCAGAGATCCCAAAGGAGCGCAAGTGCAATGACGTGATCGCACTTCTAGTCCACGATTACTTCCTCCGGCCCCATAACGATGCCTTTACCGCCATTCAAGAGCCTGTGCAATGCACCCACGATGCAGTGATCACTGTTGTGATGTAATGCAGGCCTAAATGCATAATATATGCACATTTTTTCTTTTGTCAATGTTGGTTCATTTTTTATTTTTAAAAAGGTTATGACTTTAAGGTGATGTTAAATCACAAAAATAAAAAACTGAAATGGAAAGTAGTTAAATATGCAATGCTGTAAAAACCTTAAATCAGACAAGATGGCTGGCAGCAGGTTTTGCAAATGTGAGATACAAATATATAAAACATGAGCACCAGTGGCATAGAAGCTCAATAACAATGTAACACTAAACTCAGGAGTTAAATCTTTAAAAAAAACATTCAAGTACCTTAACTAGTAACAAAAATGTATCTTATTTGTGTATCACTCGGCTGTAGATCCTCAAATCATCTCTGAATTGGTGCTGACACTGTCCTTCCTTCTGGAGGGTGGCTACTTTTGTTCCCCATGGTCCCTGTGTGTGTTGTAAAGTAGTCACTACTCCCCCCACCCATGCTGCTTTGGGCACTTACCTTAAATGATGCCTCTTGATCCGATCATCATCTTCTTTCCAGTAGTTTTCAGGAGTCCCTCCAGTGCTGGTGCCGGTCTCTGATCCAGTGCCGACTGCTGTGACCTGTCCCACGGAGCAACGCGTTTCAAGGCAAACCTTTGTCAAGCTCAATGATTGCCAACTTTGAGCTTGACAAAGGTTTGCCTTGAAACGCGTTGCTCCGTTATTCCCACACTTCTCTTCTCTGAGTCATCCTGGCTGACCACCTGCACACATTCCTGGCGGATACAGCCGCTTCAAATTTACCCCACAGAACTCACATTTTATGCGACTCGAGTGATCACTAACAGATACTCCCGTCATGTAAAGTTAGCCAAGTTTGACACCTCACAGTCCGGGTATTGTCTAACCCAGTGCTGACAACCCCATCACAGGCCGGAAGTCCAGTGACTCAGCTAGGACGCTGACAGCGGCGGCCCATCCGTCTCCTCTGTCCCGCACTGCATCCACTCTCTCCGGCCACTGAGATCTACACCTTCCGTCCACCACACGATCTCTCCTGGACCCCACTACAACAAGATTGGTCACTGGAACCATTACAGACGTCCCCTCGAGGCATATATCACAGCACCCATAGGACACAGATCCTCTACTCAGGCTGCATGAAACTCTGTCCTCACCAACACCATGCAAGTCCTTTTTCTCTTATAGCACACCTACTTGCTAATGGTAAAGTGTATGCACTCGTTTGTACTTTTGGCTTTTTATTTTTGAAGGGTTCAAACCCCTGCCAGGTTCTTACTGCTGGGGGCAATTCTACCTAATTTTCCTGGTGACCAAAAATCACTGGAGTAGAAAGTGATGAGAAACCAAACTTTTACAATCATCAAAACAGAAAGGAAGTGAAAAATCATCCAATAGGGACACCTGTTCTGGGGATACTATGAGGATTTCACTTTGGACAGCTTTATTCTTGCTCCTCGTGTTTCTGGAAGGGAAACCTCCTAAATAGGACAATGACAAAATAAATCGCCACCACAGGGGTTTCATCCATCCCCTATGCTATCCAAAAAGTTTTGACTTTAAATACGCTAACACAGGAGTACAGATCTGATTGAAATGGAAACTGTGATGATGGATGAACAAGCTGCAACAGCTCGGGCTGTCTCTTTATCTTACCTGCATCGAGGAGCCTTCTTAGACGCAGGTAGCTGATGGCGAGCCTCATTATGGAGGCTTTATCAAGATGAGAGCTGACATTGTGAGGCAGCGGCAGCTGGTGGGACAGTTCATAAAAGACCTCCGATTCTTTACTCCTCCGACACCTTGCAGCATCCCGAGATTTCTCCTTCCGCCGCTCCGAACTGATCCTGCAAATGATAAAATGAATAGCTCGTTATACATTCTGTCACACAGCAATTTCATCAAAATGCAAAGGTCAGCAAAAAACAGTAATATGCTAAATGACATTAGCTCACTTCACAGAAACAATTATATTATAATTTGCAACAATAGGGTAATATTTCTGGCACATCTACATTCACCTCACGGGCATTGTTGATTATTTTTTTGGAGAATTGTACACCTTCCAAGGAACACAACTGGTTACCTGACCTATCAAACCTACCTTTACATGTCTGCTCCGGGGCCCAGGATAATTCCAAAGAACTCTTGTGCAAGTGTGACACTTTCCACAAGAATCCCAAGCCGGGCCAGACTTCTTCCACAGCATCCTATTGGTCCATTACGATGACAGAAGGCTTTACTGGCCAACAGGGAACATTTGCATATAAGAGAGCTGGGGGATTTGGAACCTGGGTCTCCACAACAAATATGAAACTTATGTTCGGATACCTGTTTTTTTACACAGGGGCCAGTTGCCTAGTCCCTGGCTTTCAATGATTGCAGGTTTGTTTTTGGCTTGTTGGAGCGTTCTCACATGTTGATTATTGAACAGGTAGATGTTGCCCTCTGTACAAAGCTGGCTTGCTGCCTAATCTTTCTGCACAACAGCCCTTTTGTTCTCCCATTACTCAGTACAAGCCTACGGACAGAGCTCTGCTGACAGACGTCCTAGTCAAAATAGCCTAATAGTTTGCTGTAAACATTAAAAATTGTTACAAGAAAAACAAACTACACAACAACTGGACAAATATCAACTGTGGCCCCATTCACACCTAAACATGTGCATATGCACACAAAAAAAAAAAAAAAAAAAAGAGTATTTTTTTGCACATTGGGTGCGTTTCTTCTGCAACTTGTAAGACAGGAGCAGACTTGTGCAATCTCTGCCCTATAGACTTAAATAGGAGCACCGAGCGGGTTTTTTCCAGGCGTTCCCGTTTACATCTTTTAGGCAAAAAAAAAAAACCCACACAAATTTTGCCCCAAAAGAAGCTCATTTTAAAGCTTCACATGAGTGGCTACAAGCAACAGAACACTCCGATGTGAACAGGGGCCTTGAAAACAATGGGAGTCTCCTTGTTGAGCGTTGTCGGGCTTAGGGAAAGGAGCTGCAAAATGCATGAATGGGAACCAACATTCACAGGGTTATTCACATAAGGGTGAAGAGTTTGGAGAAGGCAGGAGAAGTGACCAATCTTCTAGGACAACATAGCTGAAGTGGAAAGCGAGGTGAATTGGAGGATTTTTCCAAACCAGCTATGTTGTCCTAGATTGTTCACTTCTCCTGTCTTCTCCAAACTCTTCACCCTTTTGTTAATATCGCCCGGTTAGTTTTCACTTAGAGGCAGAACCTGCAAAAACCTGCAGAACCCACTGCAAGTCAATACAATTGTGTCCAAAATGACTGAAGCAAACATTACACTACGTAGAATTCTCCCAATTTAAACTGAAAAAGCTAATTTATTTGGTACAATATCTAATATCTTTCTTTTTTCTCCAGAGATCAACCACTAAGTACATACAGAACGAAGCTGATTTATAGATTTCAGAATGTTTACACCAATTGTGAAGATACATTTCAATTATCGAAAGGTGAAAAGAAAACCCCACGCCTGTAGCTTAAAGTGATATTAAAGCCAATTTTTTTTTTTCATTTCTCCTTTAAGAAGACCCTCCTTTGCTGGAGGCTGTTGCTTTTTTTTCTTTAAAACTTAATTCCTCGTTTTTTTGTGGGTCCCCGCCATGCTCATCCCCCCCGCCCCCTGCACGGATGTCACCATCGTTCTAAAATGGAGTCACCCATGCATGCTCGTGCCCACAGCGCCGGTGTGCATCCATAGACACACACACAGCCCTGTGGCCGGACACGTCCCTTCCCTCTTTGATTGATGGCAGAAGGAGCCTATGGCCTTCAGTAAACCAGAGGTGGAAGAGTACGATGAAGACATCTACAAATGGTGTGGCTATGTATTAGGCCTCATTCACACTGGGCTAACTCAGGGCGTCCACGCCTGTGACGGGGCAATTTCCGGGAAGGACAGGCGCTGCGTGTAGCAGCCTGTTCTTCCCTATGGATAGACATGGCCATATGCACACCCGAACTGCACACATACATGCAGGTTCGGACTCAAACAGGATAAATGCTGTCTGAGCACGGACACCCGGACGTGCAGTTCAGGTGTGCGTATGGCAGCATATGGCCATGTCCTCCCATAGGGAAGAAAGGCTAACACACAGCCCCTGTCCTTCCCGGGAACAACCTGACATCGGCATGCACGCCGCACATACATGTACGCCCTGCGTTAGTCCAGTGTTGGGTAATAGTGCTTGCAGCATCTTTGCAGATGATTGCACTACAGGCGGTAAGGCGAGGCGGTGCCATTTACTTCAATGCATCGCCATGACCCCTCCGAACCCTGAATGCAGGAAGCCAGCTGGAATGCGATACAGTGCGTTCCAGAGGCTGATCGCTGTGGACCGCACAGTTGGTGTGAATCGGCCCCAGGTTCTCTACCTCCTATAACATGCAAGTTTTTGCGAATTGTTTTTATCAATAAACAAAGCATTTTATTGTGCAGGATCAATGCATGTCTTCTCTCGTATCATCTTCCACATAAAATGTATGCAATCTTTTCAATTATAGGGCGCATAAATTGCAACTTGTCACAGAGATTCTTCCATTTTCTGACACACACATCCCATTCCATAGAAACATGCACTGCGATATATTGTTTACCTGGCACTTTGGTATACATTTTGCAAACTGTACTAGTGATACCACCAATAATTTAGTCGGGTCAATTTACTGCGTAAACATTCTCAAATCTTTTCGTGCACAATATCAACTGACTTTCCTGGAAAGGAACTGTATTTGCCTCGAGTCCCCTGTGTAGTTCATCTATTATCACTTTCCAGTCACTAAAGCAAGAACCACTCAGAGCCCAAAAAATGATGCGTGCTGACGTAAGGAGAAGAAACAAGCCAAAATGATGCGTGCTGCCCCCACCTCCTCCCCACATCTAGTATTGTTAAAGCGTGAATTGTTCAGCTTACTGGAATTTCCTCTAAGTTGAAAAGGGGTATTAGACAATCTAAGATACAATACATCGAAACTAGTTCGGAAAAAGAAAAAAAGAAAAAAAACAGGTTCTAACTAGTTGAAGATTGCAAACACAAAATATCCATATACGCCAAAGTAAACAGATTCAGATGAGATTAGAAGCAGCCGAAATTCAGAGGCACCTCTCCTTCGTCCCGTCCCCCATCACTGATCACCCACAGGAACAAAGGCAAGAAGCCTTGTGTAAGCAAGAGGTTTGCTTTGGGTTGAGCTTTCAAAGAACTAAATATTATCTCCTAAACCCCCACACCATGTGACTGTGCTTGGGGCTGGCGACTGGCTGTACAGGTAACCCATCAGTACAAAGGTCAAGATCTGTGCTGTGTCCTTCGCCGAAAAACCCCCTTAAATGTATTGTTCCGGAGGGGGCTGGGGAGTTCTGTTTACTAGGGATGCACCAATACCGTTTTTTCGGTATCAAGTGCGAGTACTGATATTTTGTCGGTGCTAGCCGATACCGAAAGTCCCATTAAGGAAGCCAGGCGGCGTGTAATGACTCGCCACCTGGCTTCCTGATTAGGGAAGCAGTCTCCATGCTCCCTCGCCACCAGGTGACGAGGGAGCACGGAGCCAGCTTTCTGGCCAATCAGGAAGCCAGGCGCCATATAATGGCGCGTCGCCCGGCTTCCTGATTGGTCGAGAAGCTGGCCAATCAGGAAGTCTGGCAACGCGTCATTACACAGCGCCCAGCTACCTGATTGGCCCGAAAGCTGCCTCCATGAACCCGATTGGAAAGGAAGCAGGCTCCATGCTCCCTCGTCACAAGTGTAGAGCCCGGTGTATAATTCTGCTACAAAAACAACTAGAGATGTAAGAAATATATTCAATTATTAGATGAGATGTAGAAATGGGAACATATGACACGTAGTGGATATTTCTCAAATGTAACTGCAAAAGTGCACTTTAAATTGTGGAATCTACACTCGGCACCATTGAAAACAGAGGTTAAGCAGCTCTATGTGTATCACAATGTTCCTGCAAAGGGCTTTACTGCCTCAGGCTGAGCAAGAAATAGGTCAGAGTTTATGAGGCATTTTCTTCTAAATCTACCAGAAGATATCAAAAGAACGATCACGTTGCAGGCGGTGACCAAATAAAAAAAAAGAGTCACAAACTTCCATACGTTGACTTGCCAGGACATTTCATAAGGGACTCTGCATGTGAGCCACACAAGACACAAATGTGAACTATAAAGCAGAAAATGCAGCAGCCATTGATGATTGCATCTTTATAATGTATGAATCCAGCCACAAAGAATTCAGAAGCCAAGGAATATGCGCCTCTGTTAAAGCTGGGGATGCACCAAAATTTTGGCCGAAATTGCGGTGCATCCCTGGTTTCTCTCCTCCTCGCTGGGCGCTGCTGTGTCCCCTCTAACACAAAGCAGTGTCTAGCGAGGAGGAGAGAAACCTTAAAGGAGACAGAGCGGGGTGAGGAGGAGGAGGACGCTGTCAGTATGTCACAGGAGGCCGAGCTCGCCAACCGCACCGCTCTGCTCGGCCTCCTGCGACAGGCACATCAGGATGGAGAGCGGTATGGAGAGGAGAAAGCCGTTGCAGGAGGTGGAGCCGCAGTGTGGGGGAGGAGTCAGCAGTGTCAAAAGAGACCACGCTCTCTTTCCCACACCGCCTCCTGTAACAGGCGAAGGAGTCTGGCTGGAGAGCAGTTACAAGCACTCAAGGATCAGCTGATCGCTGACTGTTTGCAAATAATTGAGGCCATAGTATGTTTATTAGGAATGAACAGGAAGTGATCTACATCACTTCCTGTTCATTCACGATTGTGGACATAGCATACTATATCCACAGTTTTTGAGTGGACAGGAGCACTCGGTATAGAAGCTTC